CACAATTTCACAATTTCACACAATAGTTCACAATTTCACACAATAGTTTACGATTTCACACAATAGTTCACAATTCAACACAATAGTTCACAATTTCACACAATACTTCACACAATAGTCTAAACCCTAACATCCTAATTCTGAAAATTCCCTACACCCAAATTGCAATCCTCATTCAAACAATCGTTCAAATCAAGCCCTAATTCTAACCTTAAACGTAAACCCTAACTTTAAAACATCAAATATTCATGTAACCCTAACCTAAAAACGTATTATGAAAATTCGTATTTCTTGAAAAAATTGAAAAAATTTTAGGTCATTTAACTAATTGACGAAGAGATTTGTAGTTGACGGTGCCGAGACGGTGGTGGCGAGGCGGCGGTGACGCGGCTTGCGATGCGGTGGGTGGGTGTAGATTTTTTTTTGCTGTGTTTCTGTGTGTCTTGCTCGCTGCTCTCGTCTCTGTGAAGAAGACGAGCCCGTTTTTTTTTTGTTATATCTTACAGAAAACGTATTCAGCAAATACGGTTTCTGTAAGATTTAATTGTAAACCGTATTTGCTGAATACGGTTTCTGCTTTATATTTTTTTTTAAAATAAAAAAATTATATATGATATATACTATATATAGTATATGTTATATAGTATATTAAATACTATATACTATATGTTATATGTTATATACTATATATTATATACTATATATTATATATTATATACTATATGTTATATAGTAAACATATAGTATATATCATATTTTTTTTTGTTTAGAAAACGTATTAAAGAAATACGTTTTTTGAAAAACGTATTTGAGAAATACGTTGTTAATTGTTATATGAAAAAAAAAATCTTATTCTTTCTATTATTTCACAATTTAAAACCTGTTACAAATATTCAGAACAACCAACTACACCAAAAATACACAAACAAATCAACTCATATACAGTTCAACATAACAAAAATATATCATCCAAACATAGTCCAACAAATCAAAGTAAACAATAGAAAAAATAGTCCAACATAAAAAAAAATAAACACTAACAAATCTAGTTTCCCCACTCATCACGGAGTCTAGAGCTATCAGTGCGAGGATGCGAGGACGGACAGTCATACACAAAATGCTATGGATTACCACATCTACTACACTGTCCTCTATCATTCCGGCGGCGTGCCCGACGATCCATTTGCATGCGATGACGCTTCGTTTGCGCGCGACCGGGTCCGGCCTTCGTGATGATCCTCTCCCAATGTGGTAGTAAGTTCCATCCAACCAGCGGCCATGTGTCTGGATCACTAATCGGAGCAAAAGTCCAATCAGAAAATTGAGCCACCCAATTCTCTGTCCAAAAGTGGGGATCGTACAAGAACTTTGGTGGAGCTTTTATTTGACGACACACAGCTATAGCATGAGGCATGGTTTCCTGTGTGTCTGCCACTTCAGACAACTACAACGCATCCGGTAGTACGAAACCTTATACCTGTTTTTCCACATTTAATTATATTTATAAACAACACAAAATTTTAATGAACCAAAATAAAAAAATAAAAATTATACAATAAATAAATAAACCATATACCTTTTGTCCCCTCTACCATTTGCCCGTAGACCGGTTGTCACGTTGTACAAGGATCTCTCCGCGTTCGAACATCGCACCTTATGAGTTGCAGCCGTAGTCTCCAATTCGCAATAACCGGCATAGTGGGCACTAGCAATGACATTACTGCATCTCGTGGACTTCTTTTGTTCCTGCTCAAACAAGTCTAGAGTTTTCATGAATGTGGCGTGTACCAAAGCTCAGCAGGGCAAGAACCTAACACCTTTCAGGACGTTGTTGTAACTCTCGGACATGTTGGTTGTCAAAGTACCCCATCTACGTCCTCTGTCTCCAAACAGGGTCCACTTGTCCAGAGGAATTCCGAACAGGTAATCGTATGTGTCCGGATTAAAATCCGAAAGCCGCGATCGTATCTGTTCAAACTTTTTCTCTAAAACCTGTGAACCCAACTCCCAACACCAATTTCGGATTTTGTTATTCCTGAACCTAGTAACCACGTTGATCCGAAGGTGTCGAAGACAAATCTGGTGATATGCAGCGGGTTCTTGCCAAGCTTCCAATGATTCCACAGCACTCTGTAAGCCCGCATCCCTGTCCGAAAGAAAGCATATCTGTCTGTCGCCGACAACATGTTGCCAAAGATTTGTCAGGAAAAATGACCAGCTTTCCCGGCTCTCTTCATCCACAATCGCATAGGCGATTGGCAAAAGCCGCTTATTCGCAGTCTGTGCAACGGCCACAAGCAACTTCCTCTTGTACGAGCCACGCAAATGTGTGCCGTCCATGCTAATTACCGGCAGGCATCCCTGGAAGGTCTGAATGGCGGGACCAAATTCCCAGAAAAAAAAATTTGAATTCTCTATGCTGATAGTGGGCCGCCATTTCCCCACCCTGCCATTCCCATTATACAACAGTAGTGGGATTCGCTCTTTGAAGCGCCGCAAAAATCCTGCACGTTACAAAACGTAATCGTCAATACATAAACATAGTGACAAATAACACGTACATTTTTAATAAATTTTTTCTTACTGAGGGAGTTGTGCGAAGTTCGATTCCCAAGAGCCATACAAACGATCGATGGCCTTTTTCCTCCCATGCCATGCCTTCTTGTAGCTCACATCGACTTTCCAACATTTTTTAACATCCTCCTAGATCAGGGTAACACTGTAGTCGGGTTTCTTTTTAATCTTGGTCATGAAAAGATTTGAGATTATTGTGGCGGTTACATTTCTGTGGTCATTTTTTTCGACTTCTTGCATACAACTGTGCCTCTTAGTCCATTCCGTTACTTCCCACAGTTCATGAACCCGTGTGCAGTGCGTCACCCGAGCCCTCCACGGACAAGGTTGATCTTCGTTAGATGTGCACACCACCTTGAATGATTTCTTATTCGAATAGATTGTCTTAACATCCCTCAACCTACTAACATTCCAACTCATGATACCCATCTGTGCTTCTTCCTTGGACCGGAAAACAGTACCCAAACAGATAGTCTCAATATTGCCATTCCAACGTAGCACAACATGCTCATCTCGGTCTACTCACGACGGGTCCCACTCACCCATCTCGCGATACACGTGCTGACCGCTACTAGAAAATGGGTGTTCTTCAATAAATTCTGGTTCACTCTCCTCGTTTATTGATCTATCCGATTCTGTTTTCGAGGTACCATCTGTGAAATCGTCTTCACCACGAATGAAATCATCATCACTTTCTTCCTCATTATCGCATTCTCTAACTGTTGAGCTTGTCCATTCGCCAAAATTACGAACATGCGAAGTGGACGCACCCTCAACATCAGCCACTCCCCAGTAAAAAGGGACAACATCCTCAAACTGCGTAACCTCTGTAGGTGCCTGCGTAACCTGCTTCAACTCTAAATGCAAATATACATAGGAGAAAGGAGAAAAATTATATATCCACTGAAGAGCACTATCAGTATTCAAGTTTCTAATATTCCACGAACTATCGGGTTGGTTAGTCAGTAAACTAATCTCCTCAATTATCCAACCATCTCGACGAAACCCAAAATTTTCGTAAAGAATATCTACCAATTGTTCTAATGATATCTTCTCCCCAATGCTAAATGAACCATCCGGAGAGTTTTTAAAATTTGAAAAATAATATAACAACTCCTTGGGATGATTCCAATACACATTAACAAAGTATGGTCCGGTAGACGACATTTATACCTATTGCAAAATTTTTTTTCCTAATTACAACAACACATACTTTCTAACCCAACACCCAAACAATTCAATTATTCTTTTATCATTCCCACAACCAAAAAATAAAATTCATCAATAACATATAATACACTTTCAATCTTCCCAATTACAACAACACATAATTTCCCAAAAAAATCAGTTATTCTTTTACTCAAATCAAGATAAATATTTTCAATTAATACTACAATAACAAAAAAAAAATCACCAATTCTTTTATAAAATAACTCTCCAAAACCTTAATTCTCATAATCCAACCATACAATACAAATCATCCAATTTTCGGAAAAATTCTCAACATACACCGAAACCCATCATCCAAGAACAATGTATAATCATTTAACACAACTATTAAATCAACAATAAATCTTTTCTAAACTATGCTCATCAAAACCAACAAATATTTCTTACACATTCATAAACAACAAAAAAATGTAATTACATTACATTAAAATAACAACTAACCTCTTCTCCGAATCGATTGATATATAAGAGGTTTTATTTATTTATTTATTTTTTTATTTTAATTTTCAGGTGAAGAAAACGATGGAAGTGAGTTTTTTTTTTCTTCTCGCAGTTTTGATCGCGCAGAATGGTGGAGGAGAAGATTTTTTCGTACTTATATTTTGTTAAAAACCGTATTTTGCAAATACGTTTTAATTTTTTTATTATATTAGAAAACGTATTTCATGTATACGTTTTATGTTAATTTAAATTTTTCTTAAAAATTAATTAGTATTAAAAACTGTATTAATGATATACGTGTTATATTTATAAAACGTATTAACGAAATACGCTGTATAAAACATAAATTGATTTAGGTTTAAAATTAATTTAGGGCTTTAGGGTTTCAAATTAATTTGGAGTTTTCATAAAAACGCATTTTGTAATTACGATTTTAAATTAAAATTAAATATATAATTTTCAACAATATGTTTTTCAAATAATTAAACAAATTTAATTTAAAGACGTATTTAAGGAATACGTTTTTCATTAAAAAAAATTAAAAAAACGTATTGTGTAAATACGTATTTTTATTTTGGTCAATTCCTTTTTTTTCGTTTTTTTTAATAAATCACCGCAAGATGCAACCATAGGATAGGAGTATACGTTGACGGTGACAATTAAGATGTCATATAAGTTGGGGAATATTCTCTTTTCTCAATTATTATAAATATAAATTATTCCACTCCAACCTGACGTGTCCTAACGCCACATGTTCTTCACACCCTCACACGTCACGAAAGAAAGAACTATACGACGCTATTGTCCCTCATAAGCATATAAAAAACATGACTACGGGCACAAACACATAGTTGGGAACGCGTCGAAGAAGTTTGACCGCTATCAATATTCAATATCCGTCGGGCGTCGGCTGATTCCTTCATTCTATTCATATCACAGCCGATTTTTGATTTCGCCGCCTCCACTCCACAAATCAAAAGGTATTTATTTAATCCCGACCCGACCTTCTTCGCCGCATTCCTTGTTCGTCTTCATACCTTCCTCTCTGTTTGTTCGATTCATCAATTCTTCAATTTTACAATATATATCATATATAATTGGGTCTTTAATTTTACAATAAAAGAAAAAGAAAAACAATAATGGCTTCCTTCCTGCAGAGGCCCGTTCTTGCGGCCTCTGCCTTCGCAATAGCTTCAGTTTCCGCAGACAAACTGAACCCTTTCATATCGTTGGAACAATCAAATCCTCCTCCTCCTCCCCTTAAACAAACAGATTTAGATTTCTCATGGGTCTCCCTAATTTCCATGTCCAAATTGCCCCAATTCTCGCTTCTAAACAAATTTCATCTTCCCTTGCCCAATCTGCCCAATCTACCAACTCCAATCCTCAACCCTAATTCCAACCATTCTTTCGTGTCGTCATCATCTCTCGTTTTACTCAATTCATACCAATCTGCCGATTGGACAAAATCCGCTAAACCCGCTGCCTATCCATACATCAAACCCGCATTGCCATCGGACGTTCTCTACAGATGGCACTTGCCAGATCCTAGTACTGTATCTGGAAAATCTGGTTGTTTGTCTGCTAAATCTCGGACAGTAGTTGTTTTGGTGGGATGGTTAGGCGCTAAACAGAAGCACCTGAATAGATATGCTGCGTGGTACACGTCAAGAGGGTTTCATGTTATTACATTTACGTTTCCAATGTGGGAGGTTATTGGGTATAAAGTGGGTGGAAAAGCTGAGACGGATGTTGAGCTGCTGGTGGACCATCTTGCCGAGTGGTTGGAAGAGGAGCATGGAAAGAATTTGGTCTTCCATACATTTAGTAATACGGGGTGGCTAACGTAAGAGTTTTTTTGCACTTCATCATCTTCTGTTTCTACAATTTGGTATTTTGATGTATATCTCGTGTTTGTGTTGTAGATATGGAGTCATATTGGAAAAGTTTCAAAAGAAGGATTCTAGTTTGACGGATAGAATTAGAGGCTGCATTGTGGATTCTGCTCCTGTTGATAACCCAGATCCACAGGTAATCTTGCATTTGTGTATACCATTGCTGACTGCATAAACTAAATGGGAATTGCAATCCGTTTTGCACTATATTTGATCGATTGTGTTGAGATGTCTGTGGTGTCTCATTCTGTGTGTTTGGGCGCTTCTTTTTTCGTCCATTTTTTTTTTCGTTTTTGCTTTGTCTTTTCTTTTTCACCCTTAGATACATGAAGCTCCTTTGTCTTTGATCAATTCAATGTTTTTCTAAGAATCCATTTCTTGTTCAGTAATCTACATTCAGTGAAAATAGCCTATGTAGTTGTTTTAAAGTGTAAGTGCCTGTATGTCTTTGCAAAGTTGAAGTTGAAGTTCTCTTCACCTTGGGTCATGTAATTTCTAAATTATAACCATCTTTTTTCTTGTGACTGGTCAAAATTGTTTGACCCGCGTTGTATATGCTTCTAGGTTTTTGCTTGTGGATTTTCTGCTGCTTTTCTGAAGAAAAACAGTGTTGCAACAAAAGGTTCTGTTTTTGAACCGGATGTAGATGTGAAGGATGGAGAAAGAACCTCCATTGAACTTAACCCTGCTTTAACTGAGGCAGCTCTGCTCGTCATTTTGGAGAAGTTATTTGGGGTGGTGCTGAATCAGCCTTCCATTAACCAGTTATTAGCTTTTTACATTCTCTTTGAAACCTCAATTTTGTGGCTGTTTTTTCATCAACTGAATAATATGGGCATTCAACAATCAATATTACTTGTTGTGTCTGAATTTATTAACCACCATGATGCTTTCTTCTAACTCACTCGGTAACATCCAAGTTAATAATAAGTTTACTATGTTATAGTGGACTAGAAGTATTTATTATTATTATAATCATTACTATTTGAAATTTACAGGAGGCTTTGTGATGTCCTAAGCCTGTTAAAATCCAAACAGCCGAACTGTCCACAACTGTACATTTATAGCTCTGCTGACAGAGTTATCCCGGCAACGTATGTTGAGTCGTTCATAGAGAATCAGAGAAAGAGCGGACGTGAGGTCAGAGCTTGTAACTTCATAAACACTCCACATGTTGACCATTTTCGCCATCACCCAAACTTGTATTCTTCTCAGCTTACCCATTTTTTGGAGGATTGTGTCCTCACAAGGTAGCTGCAAAACTATGTTGCTAACTCATTATTGACTCACTCCATTCTTTTTTACTTTTTGCTCATTTTCATCTCCTGATTTGTACTTGTAATAAGTGACAAGGATACCAGACAGATATATGAAACATAACTTATTGACTCTATAGAGTTCAACAAGCCTTTACTGTCGTACACAGTTATTTACATATGATTTCTGTTTTCCTCGGTAACTGAGACAGAATTTTGAAATTGCGTGTTTCCCTTTGCAATGTCATTGTAACCTCTATATAAATGACTACTTGCTTCATTTAGCTTCCCAAGCTACCTGGTTGTTAATTCTTTTTAGGTAATATCTGACCAACTCCCAAAATAATCCGTCAAGACCTTCGAAGAATTTCCCACAATTGTTAGGATCTCCATATTTGTTTGCTAAACAAGATTTTATTTTAGAATTCTCCTTATAATTTTGATTATTCCATGGGTGATGGCTTAACAAGCGTCCTTTGGATTTTTCATGATTGGGAATTATGCTTATCGGCCACAGGAAATACAGGCCGGCCATCATGGAGGTTTACCTGTGTCTGTATGTGGAATGCATTAATTCTTATCACGATTACTTTTAAAATTGCTTTCCACATATGTATATGTTTTATATAAATCTTGATTAGTGGTTGAAAATAAATATCCAAATAAGCTCAAACTTATTAGTCAATTATACCTCCTAAATCATAACTCTTGTCAAGTTGAGAAGAGGCTGATTTTTTTTTTCAAAGGAAAAAAAAAATTAATGCTCCGAGTACTGATTTGATTGAATGATTGATCGATATTGTGATGTTTTTCTCTTTTTTCTTTTTAAGAAAAAAAATGATGGACATTCATGAATAAATACATATTTACAACGTGAAACAACCGATACCAGGCGCATAGATACACAAGTGAATCTAGTGGGAGAACAACTCAGAGAGGAGCTTAAACTACCACAATCACACCCACGATAATACAATACTCTCACCAGTGGAGACTACAAATCCTAAAAGGAGAATAAAAACTCAAAACAAACACAGAAAAAACTCATAGCACACACATACTACACTAGCATAACTAGAATAAAGCCCTCCCACTAATCGGCCAACCACTCCGAACCTTCACTGTGGTTTGAGGAAAAACAAACATCCACCACTCAAACACATAAGGCGCCCCCCCAAGATGGCAGACGTTCGACCAAAGACCCGGATCCAGAAACTCTCTTAAAACGACGACTAACTAGAAATCGAGCAAACGGACATTTGGTGGCCCACATCACTCCCCTCCCACGACACAAACCAACAGTTGTAGATCAACCGAAGATGAAGACCACCCCCGTCGAAAGAACCCACCAACCCAACACTAGGGAAATGATAGGAACAAGGGAGAAAAGGATGGCAACCACGACCCCAACTACCGCCAAGACGACAATCGACTCCGACCACCACGATTTTGCCGGCGATTTGTGAGAACCCCAAACCACAGCCCCGCCATGGCCATCGGACATCTAGAGAAACGTTAGGCGGGAGGAGAGCAGAAGCATACACCGAAGAGACCACAACTAGCCCCGGTGTTGTCACAATGGGGGGAGCGCAGAGCACCGCCAGTGGGATGGAGGAAAAATAAGAGGAAGAAGACGAGGTTTTCGGCCTGGGAAAAATGAGAATTTTTTAAAGAAAATAACAATTTTCACTTCATTCTGAAAAAGGATTAAGTTTTACACACAACCAATTAATAACATAACTTTTGTACCCCACTCAGTGCGGATCAAATTATGTGATAGATAAACGAAAATAACTGATAAAGTGCAAAATATTTATGCGATAAACTATGCGATAGATAGACAAAAATAACTGATAAAATACGAAACATATATGCGATGAGCTATGCGACAGACATAAGAATATAATTGATAAAGTGCAAAAAAAACATATGTGATAAGCTATGCGACAATAAGGCGAAGAAAATTAATAAAGTGTGGAACAAATTATGTGATAGACAACGAGACAGAAAAACGAAGATGTTTGATAAAGTTCGAAATTAAATATGTGAGGGACAGGCGAAGATAAATGATAAAGTGCGAACTATTTATGCATTTAATTATGCGATAAAAAATGATTGATAAAGTGCGAAAATCTTATGCGATGAACTATGCGGCGGAAATGCGAAGATAACTGATAACATACAAAATATATTATGCGATAAACCATGAAACAGAAAGGCGAAAATAATTGTTAAAGTGGTAAACAAATTATGGGATGAACCATGCGACATAAAGGCAAAGATAGTTGATAAAGTGCGAAAAATCTTATGCAATAGAAACACGAAGTTAATTGATAAAGTGCGAAACATATTATGCGATAAACTATACGACAGAAAGACGAAGATAAATGATAAAGTGCGAAACAAATTATGCGATAAACCATGCGACAGAAAGGCCAAGATTACTAGACAAGTGCGAATAATTTATGCAATAAACTATGGGATAGACATGCGAATATAACTAGACAAGTGCAAATTATATGTGTGAGTTTGAGGGCGACAGACATGCGAAGATCACCAAGCATAGTGCAAAATACGTATGAGATAAACTATGAGACAGACAGACGTGGTAATGAGAAAGTACGAAAAAAATATGCGATGAACTATCAGACATGCGATGATAATCAAACATAGTGCGAAATACATATGCGATGCACTATGCGACAGCCATACGGATTTAATTGAGCAAGTGCATGTTGGTATTGAACTTGTTTGGATTGGATTTTGAACTTGTTCATTTTGGATAACTTTCGGATTTGGTTTACGATGAAAAACCCTACTTGATATATGATTGAGTATGATTTGATGTTAAATTTATCGATTTGTGGTTAATGAAAACCGTTGAAAAATCGGGTAATGAATCCCCGTAGTTCAGTTATGACTTGAACTGTATTTATGAAAGGAATGAGTAACGTCAAAAATTTATGATTCGAAAAATAAGTTTCGAAAATTTTTACCTTGATTTTTGGAAAAGCCATGGATTTTCTTTAAAAATCGATTGGGGCGTTACAGTTTGGTATCAGAGCCAGTCTGCGTGTCTGTAGACTGGCATATATGTGAAAACGTGTTTATATGCTTTGACCTTATATTAAGACCACTCGTCTTCGTCATGCCGCGCTGCTTAAGGTATGTGTTTAAATAAGTATCAATGAAAATACTTATGCTATGATGTGATTTTGTATTCTTGCTTAAGTAGTAATAAGACTGTTTATGATATGAAATGTTGAATTTTGGGGCTTAGGATCTATCCACCTTTAATGAGATTCGAACTCTAGTGTTTGATGTTGAACTCTAGTGATATAGAGTTAAGTTCGGACTCTAGAGGTTCCTCGTTATGAGGTTCAGTATGTTGTTATCGAGATAAGTTATGCCCATAGCAGTTTTCCTTGCTATGTAATTATATTAAGTTTCTTCATGGAAAGACCCGTTCAATGAGAACCGGGAATGTATTCGCCCTCTTCGGACCTTTGCCAGGTTTCGAAAATTATGGAATGAGTCAATATCTTGTAGGCTACTATTTTTATGGATGTTCATGGCCTCTGTTCAACCTCTGATGTGTTATGTATTTAATGTCTCTTGTGCCTTAGTAAGGGTGAGTTCATGCTAGCTCGAAGCATTGTTAGTTGGGTAAGAGATAGGATTATGTGATTTATTGTTTCCCCTTTATGTGATATGATGAGATAAGTGTATTAGGTTGAGAGTCTCGGTTATATCATGATAGGTTTAGTCGGGATCATGTGATGCATATGTGATCTTCGATGATTGAGGTTGAATTAATGTATTAATGTGAATTGTTATATATTATCAAACCAAAAGATATAATAATTCAAGTGAAGGCATAAGACTTTATTTTTCTATCTTGTTTAATAAGACCGAGTTGGACCTCGGACAACGTGTTTGATGATATTGATGTTTAAGTCTTAAAGTATTGATATCGAGGCTTGCTTAACGTGTAATTTACATGATTTCGAGGCTATGTTGTTGTGTGATCATTTTGAGTTGATGAAGGCATGAAAACTCAACTTTTCAAGTTTCACTTAGGTTCTATTTTTGTCGAACAAGATGATATTTCTTGGACAAGTATTCTTCATGACATTTGTAGTGCTCTGATTGAAGTTTCTGTGAGTTTTGGAATTTTGTGATTTGGGGTTAAAATAAAATTATTATGATTTTTCAAAGTTCGTCGAGCATGCTGGTTTGATAAACTCGGGCAGAAGGATTTGATTTTAGTTCATGGCTATTTATGATGATCTTAACGTGCCTGAATGGAAATGTGTTTTTCATGACAAATGTAGTATATGATGTAAGTTGCCCGTAGAAATTGGAATTATGCAATTTAGAGTTTTGGTTGATTTTATATGATTTTTTTAAGTTGGATTTATGCCTAGGATTTTGAAACAGTGGCTGGGTGTATGCATGAAATGTATGCTCTGAATTGATGCCTTTAACGTGATGATATGTAAACATTATCTTCATGAAATTTGTAGCTTCCCTTGTGTAGTTTCTGCAGGTTTTAGGTTTACATGATTTGGAGTTCCAGTTGATTTTATATAATTTTTCTAAGTGGGATGTACACCCAGTTTTTATGAAACCAGGATTTTGTTTAAGTGTTGAATACGTGCTCTGTTTAAGTGACCTAAACGTGTTCTTATGAAACAGTCTTCTTCATGAACTTTGTATATTTCCATGGGTATATTATATAGGTATTGAGGTTGTATGAATTGGAGTCGTGTAGCTTGAGTTGTTGCTATTTTACTAAGGTGCTGTATTTTTCAAAAAATTGATCTGTGGTTGTTTTTGTAAACTAAATGTTTTATGGTTAAACTTGTTGATAATGTTATAATTTGCCAATGGGGTCTTCAGAGAAGTTGTATAGAATTGTGTTAGCTACCTTGGGGTTTTTGAATTTTAGTAATATCATGTCTGTAGCTTCGATTATTATGCACAAACTGAGAACCTATCAACCTGTAAATCTTTATTTATCCACTGCACCCATGTTTTAGATGTTTGTTGTATTATGTGCCCTTAAATGACTTTATCTGCCTGAGTGTTCTTCATGATAGTAATAGAGGCATGAGTTAGGGATATTTTTCAAGTCGTTTAATGATGATATGATCTGTAGACTGGAAACTATATGCATTATAAATTCAACACACATGCTGAAAAATTGGTGCTAGTTCATGTTTA